TCTCTACTAAAATACAAAAAATTAGCCAGGCGTGTGATGGGAGGTCGAGACCAGCTTGGCACACATGGTGAACCCTGGTGCTACTAAAAATTACAAAAATTACCCAGGTGTTTGGTGGCGCACACTTGTAATCCCAGCTTCCTCAGGAGGCTGAGCAGAATTGCTAAGAACTGGGAGGCAGATGGTTTCAGTGAGCCGAGGATCGTGCCACTGCACTCACAGCCTGGGCAACAGAGTGTGACGGTGTCTCAAAAAAAAAAAATAAAATAACGAAAATAAGGAAAAAAACCAGTAATTTGCAGATTATAATTTCCAAAAAGTTATAATAGTAATTATAAAATATACAAAATTTTATTAACATTATAAATCATGAATTATAATTAGTAATATAATACAATAAAAGCTAAAAATTTAACACTATAGTTTTTAAATTAACTACATCTTTTAAATATTTTCATCAAAATAAAACCATTCATAATTCTAATAGTTAACGTCCATGTAGTTGCTAACATGGAGAATTAGCAACTACAGGTGCTTTTTGTTTTTCTGCTGTTATCAGTTTTCTCACACAGGTTCTGTCTAGACCTGTGCTGTGCACTTACAGAAGCTACATCTACATGTGGACTACTGAGTGGCTGCTAGCTAAATGTGGCTGTTCTCAGTGAGACGTACTGTAAGTGTAAAACACATCAAACTTTGAAGATTTAGTATAAAAAAAGAGCAAGACATTTCCATATTTCTTATATTCCATTACATGTTGAAATGATATTTTGGATACATTTGGTTAAATAAAATATATTATTAATTTCACTTTTTTTCTTTTTGAGACAAAGTTTCACTCTTGTTGCCCAGGCTGGAATGTGCCAATGGCGTGATCTCGGCTCACTGCAACCTCTGCCTCCTGGGTTCAAGCGATTCTCCTGCCCTCAGTCTTCTGAGTAGGCTGGGATTACGGGTGCCCGCCCCACACCCAGCTAATTTTTGTATTTTTAAGTAGAGACAGGGTCACCCTATTGGTCAGGCTGGTCTTGAACTCCGACCTCAGATGTGATCCACCCTCCTTGGCCTCCCAAGTGCTGGGATTACACAACGCGTGAGCCACTGTGGATGTGGGCCACTAGAAAAGTAAATTACATTGTGCTTCTCCGTATTGTATTGGACGGTGCTGTTTCTAGACCTACCCCACTACACACTGAAAAGTAACAGTCCCCACGTGCAACTTCTGCAGACACTATAGCGGAACTCATGAAAGTCTTCAGAGTCCAGCGTGCTAACCATTACACCACAGAACCCTCCCTGTTAAAATCTTCAGAACGACACATTCAACACGTAGACAGGGGAGGCCGAGGTAGGCAGATCATCTGAGGTCAGGAGTTTGAGACCAGCCTGGCCAACATGGTGAAACTCCATCTCTACTATTAAAAAAAAAAAAAAAAAAAAAAAATTGGCTGAGTGTGGTGGCGCGTCCCCATAACCCCAGCTATTCGGGAGGCTAAGGCAGGAGAATCGCTTGAACCCAGGAGGTGGAGGTTGCAGTGAGCTGAGATTGTGCCATTGAATTCCAGCCTCGGTGACAGAGTGAGACTCCATTTCAGAAGAAAAAAAAAAAAAAATCATTCTTTCCACTCCACCCGCCCTCCAGTAGAATGGCTAAAATGAAGAGGCACATCAAACCTGGCAAGGATGTGCAGGAACCGGAACTCTCATTCAATACTGCTGTTAGTGTCGACTGTACCAACATCTTTGGAAAACCATTTCACAATGTCTACTGGAACTGATCATATGCACATCCCATGACTCAGCAAATTATACACTTGTGTATCTGTCCATCAGAAATGTGGGCAGGTGTTCACCAAAAAAGCTTACACAAGGTGTTCACAGCAGCAGTAGATGTAATACAGTAGTCCCCTCTTATTTGCAGGGGATACGTTCCAAGACCCTCAGTGGATGCCCGAAAGCTCAGCTAGCACTGACCTCTACAAACACTATGTTTTCCCCTATACTGTATGTACACACCTATGATAAAGTTTAATTGATAAATTAGGCACAGTAAGAGATTAACAATAATACAATAATACAATTATAATGATATACTGTAGTAAAAGTTATGTGAATGTGGTCTCTTTCTCAAAACATCACACCACGGTTGGGTGTGGGTAACTGAAAGCACGGAAAGTGAAACCGCAGGTAAGGGGGAGATACTGTAATCCTTTTTTTTTTTTTTTTTTTTCAGATGAGTCTTCGCTCCCTGTCGCCTAGCGCCTGGAGGTGCAAGTGGGCGCCATCCTTACCCGCTCACTGGAAAAAAACAAGCTCTTGCCCTCCCCGGTTCACCACCAATTCTCCCCACTGCCTCAGCCTCCCAGAGTAGCTGGACTACAGGCCGATCCGCACACCCACGCCCTGGCTAATTTTGTATTTCGGTAGAGAGGGGGTTTTCACCCGTGTTTACCAGGATGGGGTCCTCCGATCTCCTGGACCTCAGTGATCTTGCCCGCCTCCTCGCATCCCCAACGCTGGGATTACATAGTGTGCAGCCACTGTGGCCCAGCCAAATTAATACTGTAACCTAAACTGGTACGTCCTCGCAACTCCTGATCTCAAGTAATCTGCC